GAACTCATGCGGAAGCGGCTTTAGATTCTTAGGGCTGTGCTTTAACCCGCTGCGCCACCAGGGAGGGCCACAAAAATAAATCTTTTAAAAATCTTTTTTTAAAAAGAAATATATTAGAAGCTAGGAACCCAAAATTCAAATGACAATGCTGCCCAGTTAGCTGTGGCAAATAACACAGTATCTGTCTTCAGGAAAAATGAAAGGCAGCTGCTGAACAACCCCTGTATATGGGGCTGCAGGGATGGAGAGCGGCCCCCTGTGTGGCCTTGTCTGTAAACAGTGATTAGTTCACTGAGAAATTTTTAGTGCCTGCATCCTGGAATGGAAATGCAGCGGTGGCTCAATTAATTGTGAAGGTTGACTGACAATGTTTTAAGAGAAGGATCAGGATAGTTAACTTCTGGATTACTTTTCAAATGCAGACCTTTGTTACCTTGGGTTTGGACTCAGGTTTTTTTTTTTTACTGGTGGCTGCCTGATTAAGCCAGAAGCCACCAGGTGGCGCTGTCGACCTATTGCAGAAGACGGTGCTCTGGAGGCCTCGCAGTGAAGGCGGCTTTGTGCGTGGATGTCTCTGTAGTGCTTTTTAATTTTTTAATATATATATATTCCTGTAGTTTTGCTACCTCCTTGCCAGCATCAATTATTATGGCTATTTCAGTAGTTGGACAGTTAGGAAATTGGGGCGGGCATTTGGAAAGCTTATAGTCTCAGTTTTCAATTAAATGATGGTTATGGTCTTGATAGCTAAGTATTTCCATCACCCCACTTATGTCTGTAAGCTGCATCTTATGAATTCATGTTTGGTTTGGGATGGCACTTTGAGGATCAACCTTTAGTTTAGTCTACATTTTCAGGTTGACAGCAATACCACATTGTTTGTAGCAATATTCCACAACTTTCTCCCAAAACATCCTATCAGAATCTTAGTCCAGTTGTTGATGGTCTGTGGGGATATTTTCCAGTAGCACTAGGATCTTGGGAAAAATTAGGAATCCCTATTTATTTGCTTACAGACTTCCTTTTAGCAATCCCTTAGTGTTCCAAGGAGGGAAATGTTTTATGAGGTTCTATGAAGAAGGTAGGTGATGGGGACAGGTGGCTTCCATGACGATGTGATGTTAGGGGTCATACAGCAATAATGTGAAATGAATGGCTAGAAAGAGTTACATGAAAGCGGCACAGAGGTGAGGTCGTTGACCAAAAAAGGCAGAGTGAAAGGCAGGTGGTCAAGTTGATTCAGTGCTGTTTCCTTTCCAGCCCTCAGTTCAGCTCCAGCGACACTGCTCTGGGCACTCATGGTGCTTTCCTCTGCCCATCCTTAATACCTAGCATGTCCCAATTTAACCCAGATGACAGACTCATGGGCAGCAGGCCCCAGAGTCATCCAGCCCAACTGTGTCCTGAACAGAAGCCTCACTACCTGCCACTGCTCCTGCATGTTTGCTGCAACAATGTGCTGTTGGTTCCAGATTGACTGTGATTTCTGATTTGTAGCGGATCTTTACTTTTTTTACTTTGAAGTTAACAACGAAGTCAGAGTCAAGACCCAGATGACAGAGGGACCATCCAATCTGCCTACTGCATCTACTGTTTCTATTTTCAACTTTATGTTTAAAAATGTATACACATACACACATTGTGTGTGTGTGTACATTTTTTTCATCTCAGTTGTTATCCCTGTGGACTTCCCATCACCACTTCATCCCTGTGCCATCACCATAGTCCCATGTGCTCTTCCTGCTTCAGTTTTGATCTTGTTCTCCTCTCCTCACCCGTAGAATGTCTCTGATTTATAGTTGTTAGCTGATGTTAGTTTTTACTTTATTGCAATTACTGTGTGTGTGTGTATATGTACATTTATATATATATACATATATA